GAGATCGCACACGTGTGTGCCCAAGGGTTGGCTTTCGGTCGCCAAGGTCCACCTGGAGCGCGCGCCTCGTGACACAGGTAGTCGCGGAGGGTGGACGCTCCGCGTGGTGGGGGAAGGGTTGCAGCGGGAAAGAAAAAACTGCGGCGCGGTTCTCCGCCCACGGACTCACACCTCCACGTGGCGTACACGTGGAAAAAACGACGAGGTCGCCGGAAAAATGCGACGCGTGGGGGTTGTTGCGCTGGCCGGGTAGGGGCCGAGGGTGGAAAGCGCGACGAAGGAAGGGAAAGCCCGTGCGAAGGACAGACTCTGCCGGTCGGACGGGGGTGGGATGGCGGCTCGTTGCGAGTAAGTGACAGCTGGGAAAGGAAAGAGAGGGACGGCGGATGAACGAGTGGAGGGGAAAGACGTTGGCCGTGCCGGGAAGGGATGGAAAGCTCCCTCGCGAGCCTGGTGGGGTGCGCACGTTAGACGGTGCTCGGGGAGGGGGCTGGCGGAAGGGTAGGGGCCACTGTTTGACGAGAAGGGTGCGTAAGACGAGCGGGATGACCATCGACCAGCCGAGGCTGCGAAATGAGCTACGCTGGAAAGTCGACGTCCTCTTCGGGGTCGACGATCCATCTTTCGATCGGGAGGACGCTGACAGGTTCGCTGACACCCCGGGACACCCACCTCTTATCAGCGAGTCTTGGCTCGAGGATTTTTCTTTCGATAGATCGACCCGATTAGACTAGTATCAGCATCTTGGTTTGCCAAGGATCGAGATTACTCGATTTTATAGTCGTCGATAATTCGTAACTATAAAAACAAACCGCAGGGCTCGAACAATCGTATCTCCTCTCCCCAAATTGTCCATTTTTGTGGACGATCTAAGTGTCAATTAGAGAGACATTACTGTACCTACTCCGACAGACGATCACGGACGACACCGTTTAAAAGAAACTAATTAGGGTGGTGGAGACAGTTGCCACGGATATAATTATCTTTGTTGTCTTATCGAATGAGACACGTTCAATTTTACTCGACAAATTTATCTAATCGACAACGTCCATTCTGAAAATAATGAGAACAAAGCAGAGGCACAGCAACTGGTCACTCGACAATAGTCAGCTCCGCTACCCCGATACGAGCAGAAGTTTTCTGGCTGGCTATACAACCCCTGTCAACAATTTCTTAATCCAATTTCGTAACATTTATTATCGCCAGCGCAGTACCAGAGAATATAAAACCGCATTTCGAAGAGCAGACAGTTTCAGAGCAAAGGGCGAACGGTAATTAAAAAAGATCTAGTTAGCGGACGTTGTAGCGACGAAAGGCCGGAAGAAACTAGCGTAGGAAGGGTCTATCCAGTGGGAAGGGATTAAAAAAGAAAGCGCGTCCCACACTCCCCCTCGTGCCGGTTAGTCACGCGTGTGCGGCCATACGGAGCGCAAGGGAGGAGGCCATTTTTATACGACGCCGCGCGGTCCCCTTCTTTTTATTCGTACCTCAGACTGCCGGTACACCCCCTTACAGGATCCCCCGGCAGCAATTTTTCGGTCAGTCGAATTCGTCGGTTCGTGACGTTCGCACGTACGCGCGCGGTCTACGCACGAGGAACAAGAAGAAGAAGAAGAAGAAGAAGAAGAACGTGGCTGCGTGGCTGCGTCGCCGAGAGTCGGCGGGAACTTCGAAGCGAAACTTCGTCGGCGGAGAGTGACGGGTGTCGCGGGGGGTTGCGTCTTCGCTCGGATATTTCCATCGGGGGTGGGTGGGTGGACGGGCGGCGGGAGCGTTGGTGAGAGAAATAGAGAGCACAGTGAGAGGGTGAGAGAGAAAGAGAAGGAGAGAGAGAGGAGCCGGGAGGGTGGGCGAGAGAAGGTGGGCGAATTTTCAAGGGCAATCGCGTAAGAACGAAGTCGACGAAAAGTGAAGGCGGGCGAGCGCGCGTGTTTATGTTCCCGTGCGGGTCCGAGCGGGTCGCGCGAGAGGGTGGCAGATCGGCGATCCAGGTAACGAAGCGAACAAGGACGACGGAGAGATCGACGGAGAGAAAGAAAGGCGGAGAGAGCGAGAGCGCGCGAGAGAGAAATAGAGAGATAGATAGCTAGATAGATAGAGAGAGAGAGAGAGAGAGAGAGAGAGAAAGAGAGAGAATAGGTTTGGGTTCTTGCGGACCGGCTCGCATCGCAAACGGCAGGGAGAGAGAGTTTTCTCGAGTGGGAGGCTAGAGAGGGTGACCGAAGGCAGAGGAGGCGCGGGATTGGAGCGAGAAAGGAGTAGCTCCGGTGAACGCGGAGAAGGGACGGGAACGCGAGAAGGAGAAAAAGGAGGGAAAGGTGGGAAAGAGAGAAAGCCCTCGGTCTCGTTCTCGTTCTCGTTCCCGTTCTGCTTCTCGTTCTCGTTCTCACCCCTCGGCCGGCAGCGGGGCTACCCCCGACGGAGACGTCGGCGGAGTCGGCAGCGTTAGAGACCCCTACCCACCGGAGGAGGGAAAGCTCGCCGGCAGAGCCGTAGGAGCGGCAGGGGGCGGCAGGGCGAGAGGGGTTGCCTCGCCGTCGAGGAAAAGGGGGAGACAGAGCGCGCGCCTCGGCGAAGGGAGGCCGGCTTGGTGGGGGCGAAGGAAAAGAGGGGTGGCTTGAAAACTGCTGTCCTACGGAAGGCTCAGTTTTTCGTCCTCTCGGAGGTAGATTTTGGTCGTGGGAGGACCGGTCAAGGGTTGGACGTCGGCCGAGGGTGACCTGGGCCGGGGCCCAGGTCCTTCGGACCCTGGCCGCCGGAGCCTCTTACGTGGGCGACCGTGCCGGGAAACGGAGTCGGAGGCAGCCAGAAATTTCGCGACCGCGCACCACCTAAGACAACGCCCCTACCCGAACACGCGTTCTTTAAGGCACGAGGGGGTGGCTTTTAGTCAGACGCACGCGGTCTGAGAAGCGCGCCACCACCGGCCCCCGCCGACGGAGAAGGACTTAGCGTTTCTCGCGAGCCGCAGACCCGAGTCAGTTTCGGTTCCTCCTCCGTCAAGGACTCGAGAACGCGGAAGAGGAGAGAGCTTTTTCCTCGATCGTGAACACGCGTCATTATCGTCGTCGTCGTCGTCGTCGTCGTCGTCGTCGTCATCGCAGTCGTCGTCGTCGTTGCCGTCGTCGTCGTCGTCGTCGCCGTCGTTGTCGTTGTCGTTGTCGTTGCCGTTGTCGTTGTTGCCTTCGTCGTTTTCGTTTGCCGTTACCGTTCGCCGTGACACTTCGTCTTCGCGACTCCTCTGCCCACCGGATACTTGGAGCAACGCATCGTCGTCCTTCTTGCCGACACACCACCTCCGTGCAGCGGAAACAGATCAAGTGCGTTTTCACCGAGAGAGAGATTTACCGTTCTCTCGCTGTCTCTCTCTCTTTCTCTCTCTCTCTCTCTTCGAACCGGCCGCGGGACCGAGTTCGTCCACGAGAACCTGATGGATTTTCGCGACGATTCCGACGATTCTCGATGACAGTGCGACCCCGCCGCGGACTTAGGCGGAAAAGTGTCTCTTCTCCCTCTTGCCGGGTGTTGTGCGCGCGGAGACCCAACGTGACACGCCACAGAGCCGTACACGCCGACCAGTCGTCGTGGATCCTTTCGCCCTTTTTTTCGTTCCATCCGCGATTTTGGTCAGTTTTCCCCTCTTTCGGCCAACCAACGCCGATCCACCCCCTCCATCCCAGCTCCCTGACATGCCCGGTACACGTCATCGTCGTCTGCAGTGTTTCGTCGCGATCCTCCACGGATCGAGCCTTTCTTAATCCCGCCGGCGAGCATGCAGAGTTCCCGTCCAGGCCGGAAAAACCGCGCGAACGCTCGCGGGTATCGCGGCCGAGCCCGCGATCGGCGGGCCTGCTGAGAACGGCAGAGTCTTCGGGATCGCACCTGCGAGGATACTCGGGGACATTGACGACGCGAAACGATGGGGATGATCGGTTCCAAGGTGACCAGGAAGCTTTTTGTGTCGCGGCGACGATACCCCGAGCACCAGATTGCGAATCGCGGCTCCTTCTCCTGCGAGCATCGTTTTCTCCGCGCGTTGGAAAACGCTGACGAGCTGCACGGACGTGTCTTCCTCGTGCGATCGAGCTCCGATCCTCTTCGTGGGCCTCGCAGAAACGACGAGTTGTCCGTAGTTTCGCCGGGAGAGCCGCTGAAACGTGGGATAGAATCGAGAGTGCGCCGAAAATGTTCGCGACTGTTGCAGCTAGTTTTCCGATGTGACGATCGAGATCTCCTTAGTTTGTCCGGTTCTCTAGGATCGTGGTCACGTTCGGTGAACGAATCGTGCGTCTCGGTGTTCGTTTTTTTAGCCAGTCGAACCGGGCTCGCCCGAGAAGCTCGTCTCGGCGGTCGAGAGTGACGCGACGGCAAAACGCTCCGCGTCTCACGTGCTTCCACGGGACGATTCTTCAGGGATAATTCGCTGAATCGGGAATCGCGTGATCGCGAGATCGAGTCGGAGAAGTGTGAAGTATCTTCGCTGGTGCGATTCCGAGATTTTTATTCCGCGGCCTTTCGACGATCGCGACGCGTTAAACGTTAGATTTCGAGAAATCTTCGCGTCCTCGACGATCCTGAAACGGCGATCATCTCGCGTGTTCGTGTCGCGAATACTCGCGTTATTTTTTTCGATCGGCAGCAAACTCTCCCCGAATCCCTCCCTTTCTCGAACGGTTCCCTCTTTTGTCTCAGAGCTTCTGCCCGCTTCGATTCGACGAACGACGGAGAGCGACAGGTTGTGTGATTAGTTGGGCACCGGGGGCTGGACGAGATAGTTTAGTGAAAACAAGGTGGCACAAAGGTGACGAGAGAGACCCGGCGATCGGTTTCACAGTGCGAGGTTCCCGCGAGCGGTTCGCCTAGTTTTGCATGCATTTTAGCCGGCCGGTAACGAGTGACAGTGCGGAGGACTGTTGATTAGTTTTTGAATGAATCCTAGTGAAACCCTACTGTCGAGTGTGGACGGCAATCTAGCGTCTGTTTTCTTTTCTGAATTGCAGCTTCGAGCGGGAGACGCATTGCAGCAAGAGATTCCCGCGCAGGAGAGGAAGACTGGACAAAGCGGAAGAAGCAGAATAAGACGAGCAAAGCAGAAGAAGCGGAGGAACACAAGAGGAAAAGAAGAGCGAAAGCGAGAAGAAGCGGGGTTGCGACGAGAGTGATTCGGAGTAGCGAAGAGAGGAAAGTGAAGGGAGGCGATTGTTAGCGAGAGTGATTTATCAACGAGTACGAGAAGAGAGAGAAGAAGACGAAGAAGACGAAGAAAGCGGAAGCAGAAGAACCAGTGGCAGTAAAAATCAGAGAAAGAGTGAGAAAAGAGAGATAGAGAAAGAGAGAAAGCGAAAGAGTAGCAAAGAAGAAGAAGCGAAAGAGTGGACAGTGAAAGGAAGCCGAAAGGAAGAGAAGTCGATTGAAGAAGAAGAAGAAGAGTCAGAAGAATCGGAAGAAGCTCGCTAAGAGAGAACCTCGCGCCGCATACATATATATTTCAGTGTGTTCAAAAAACGAGTGTACCTAAGTGCAATATTATTAAACCTAAACGATAATAAGAAGCAACCACAACTACCATCGACGATATCGTTAACGACGAGCGGTTAATCGATAATCGAGATAGAATTCCTTTTAAAGAGTTAAAAGATACCCTAGAGTCGCATTTCGAGGAGGAGTCTACGTGACCGGACGCGATTTTCCAGGGGGAAAAAAAGGGGATCAGAACCGAGCGCGTTTGTTCGGCGGTCGTCGTGTCGTTAGAACTACTGGTACCGACCGAAGCGGATTCCACGAGTTTCGACGCGGCGGAAAAAGTGTGCGGGCAAAACAAAAAACAAAAGAACAAATAGCGCCGATCGACGGGGATATCAGGAGGAGTAGATCGCGACGATAGAGAGGAGAACAGTGACGAACGACGAGCGCGGGATCGTCGACAGAAGCGGCCGACAGAACTGCCGTCCCGGTTTATAAAGAAATCCTACACACCACGCATTCGACACGGTGAACGGGTGGAAAGGGCTCGCCTGTTCGCCAGCACACACGCACATATACAACACGCACATCGACATCAACGGGGCTACGAACTACTTCAGGGCAAAACGGGACGAGCAGTGTCATCCGCGAGTGCGAGATTCTTCGTTACGCCGACGACACAGGCCGAGAAAGAGAGAGAAAGAAAGAGCGAGAAAGAGAGAGAAGAGGAGAGGAAAAGGCGCGCACACGAGAGGAAATACGACCGACCAAAAACCGCGCACAAGTTCAACACCGAGAGGAGAGGATATCGCGTCCGCACGGACTATCCTTCTCGTTCACACCGTCCGGGCTGGGCAATCCTGAATTTTAACCTGAACTTAAGTGTACGATAGACTTTAAGTTAGATAGACGAAAGAAAATAGGGTGTTCTCCGCGAAGACACAGTGCCGGAGAACGTCCGCTCGAGCGCGCATCGATTCGCATACATATATATACGCACACGCAGGCATACACACAACATACAAACACACACGAGTATACACCGTACACCAGAAATACAACAAGCGTACGCACTTGAATAGATCCATCAAATGCAGACCGCAGGAAGGAGGAGCTAAGAGAGAGAGAAGAAGTTCGAGGGAGAAACAGACGAAACCGCGTAGACGCACGCGAAGAACGAGTGACGACGAGTGATCGTTTACGGGAGACCACGGATTTGACCTGATCGTTCGAAGGAGAGAGGGTGTGCACCATCGCGAGGTAGAGAGTTAAACGAGAAACGAGAGACGAGACCGAGAGAGGCCCAGGAGAGGGACGCAGCGAAGAAAAGAAAGGCAGCGGCACCGAAGAAGAAGAAGAAGCAGCCGCAGCAGCAGCAGCAGCAGCAGCAGAAGGCGCAGAAAGAGGACAAGACCGCCGGTGTGTACCGAGGGAAAGAGTTTCATGAGCCAGGTAGCGGGAGGCAGCAGCAGCAGGCCCGGGAAGTCGAAGCAGGTGGCGAGTAACTGACGTTGCCCGCCGCCCACGTCGAGCGAGGATCGGTGTCCCATCGGGACGATCGGATCCCGGGAGGCAGCGAGTCGAGGAGGCGCGATAGAGCGGTCAGGAAGATAGGAAGGAACGGCGGCGAGCGCGGAAGTGTGCCGGCCGTCGAGCTGCTTACCGGAAGGGGTGCGAAAAAGCGGGCAAGCTGCGCCGGAAGGGGGTAGCCCGGGCTTCTCGCGAAGGCCTCAAAATTTCGGACGCGACGGCGGCCCTGGACCTACGTGCCCAGACGCAAGCCCAACCCGACTTTGGCTTGGACCACCACCAGCAACAGCATCACCATCAACAGCAGCAACAGCAGCAGCAACAACAACAGCAACAACAGCAGCAGCAGCAGCAACAGCAGCCGCAGCAGCAACAGCATCAACAGCCGCAGCAACATCAGCACCAGCAGGGCCAAAATCCGGAGTCGCGTCCACACCATCACCTTCAGCAGCATCATCATCATCATCAACACCACCCCGGGAATCATCTCCACTCTGGCGATTCGGGGGGTGGGATAGGAGGTGGAGGAGGTGGCGGTGGAGCAGGTGGAGGTGGCGGTGGCGGCGGCGGAAGTGGCGGCGGTGGAAGTGGCGGTGGTGTTGCTGGTGTTGCTGGAGGAGGCCAGCCGGGGCCCGAGCCTGTCGACAGAGGCGTCAGGATCCACGACGAGGACGACGAGGACATCACCGAGAGAGAGGACGAGGAGGAGGACGAGGACCCTTGCAGCTCGCCGGAGGGGGACCTCGAAAACGAGCCGGAACCAATGGAGGTTCAAACGTCGGCCGTCACCGCGGCGGCCGCGAATCTCCACGCGCTGCGACAGCATGTCTTCAAGATGTCCGACTACTGGCAGCAGCCGCAACGGGGCCCGCCTCAGCACTCGCCGGGGATACAGCATAGCCCGATATCGAATTCGACGCAGCAACAGCAACACCAGCAGGTGCAGCAGATGCACAGCCCGCTGGGTCAGCAGCAGCAGCAACAGCAGCAGCAACAACAGCAGCAGCAGCAACAGCAGCAGCCGACCGGTGTGCCGCAGGTCCAGCAAGCTTCGAACGCCGGGCTAGGGCCGACGGCCAGCCCGCAGCAGCAGATGCAGCAGCAACAGCAGCACGCGATGTCGATGAGCCAGCAGACGGCTCAGGCAGCGCAGCATCAGTCTTCCCCGGCGCCGACGACGCCGTCTCCTCAGGCGGACCATCAGAGCGCGATCGCGTCCAGCATGGCCCAGAGCCTGCACAACCTGGCGCAAGCACAACAAACCATGTCGCAAGCCTCGAGTCCGTCGCTGGCCGTCCAGGCGGTCCAGGCGGCTCAGGCCCTCAACCAGAATCTGGGACAGGCGCTGACCCAGGCGCTCTCGCAGAATATGCAGCAGAGCCTCGGCCAGACGTTGCAGCACAACCTGGCGCAAAGTTTGACGCCCAGCTTGTCGCCGCAGCAACAACAACAGCTGCTGAACCAGCCGCAGAATCTCAGCCAGGCGAGCCAGAACCTACAGCAGAACATGCAGAGCCAGGCGCAGAATCTGTCGCAGACGTTGCAGCAACAGGCTCAGAACCTCACCCAGAACATCGGGCAGAGCCTCAGCCAGCAGGCGCTGCAACAACAGGCCCAGAACCTCACGCAGAACCTGCAGCAACAGGCGCAGAACCTCACCCAGAACCTACAGCAACAGGCGCTGAACATGGCCGGCACCATCGCTCAGAACGGCGGCCTCGCCGGGATGAACATGTCCGCCAACCAGCAACAGAACTCCCAGAACTCGATGCTGAGCCCCGGCGCCACCAGCCAGGACTCCCACGACGCCATCACCGAGAAGCTCGTCAACGAGTTGCAGGTGAGACGACGATTGAATATTTTTTCTTTTTCTCGATTACTTTTCTACTCTCTGCCAACGCGAACACGCGCGTACTTTAACGGCGCCTACTTCGAGGCGCGTACCTTTCGCGCGCGTAGACCAACGCGTGTAACCTTTCTTCGTGGTCTTTTCGGATCACCTCGCTTCTGTTCTCTCTCGATCTCCGCGGTCGTGCTCCGCGGCCGTGCTCCCGGGAGAGAGATGAGATAAATAACTGGGACGAGGCGACCGCGATAAAAGTGCATAATGCGCCGATAAATAGGGTCGTTCACTTGGGCCGACCGACGCCGGACAATACTTCCAAACAGTTTTCCGCCGGACGATGAAAAATACGCTCGGGGGCGGGAGGGGGAGGGGAAACAGACGTCTTGGGGAGATCGCGGATTCGCGTGCGCGGACGATCGAACGATCGGCTGGCTTTTTACCTTTTTTTTAGCGAATTCGGTGAAGGAAGATCCATCCGGTTAACGACGATAATTGCCGCGCGATTAAAACAGAGAGAACGCGTATCAAGCCCTGTCTGTTCGGCGAACTTTAAAACTTTGCTCTCTCATAAGGAAGTGTTCGCGCACATTTTCACGGTAGAAACACCGACCAGCATTAAAAGTAACCAGCTTACGTCTTGTGAAAGTTGCAGAAACACGTTTGTCGATGTTCTTGCTTGCCGATCAATCGATTACACGAATGACGCGGAGGCGGCGATCGAAATATCTATATCTATCTGTCCGCCGCGAGCCAACAATTATTTCACCGGCGATGTTTTCATCGACGCGATGGTTGCAACGACACCGCGGTTCGCCGTTTTATTAATATTGCCGACACGACGGCCACGTTTCTCGTACACGGCGTGTCGATGATAACATCTGTCGGTGATTTCAAGGTAACCCGGGAGCATCTTTTCGAAAACAAACCGTGCAGTTCGTTCAGTTTGAATTGCCGACGATGGAGACGCGAAACGTTCCATCGATCGGGTACTCAATTCTCAAGAAAATACAAAAGAGAAAAGAAAGTTCAATCGCGCTCGAACGTTCTTCACATTGATTCGCGATCGTTGATCTTATCCGTCGCGATTCTTCCTCTCCAAATACAGTAATATCTCCCTTACTGACGCTCGGATTGTGCAACAAAAATGGACAACTTGGGAAGAGGAGATACGATTGTTATTTGAGCTTTGCGGCTCGTTTGTACAATTGTTGACAATTCGTCACTGTAAAAACAAACCGCGAGGCACGAACAATCGTGTCTCCTCTTCCCAAATTGTCTATTTCCGTGGACAATCGTGGCGTCAATTAGAGAGACATTACTGTAGACGATAACAGCGATAAAAGCGGTCGAAAATTCGTAACGATCCAAAAATATCGATATCCCGTTCCGGAAGAATGATCGAATCGTCGATCTAGCTACGATCTCTCGACAAAAAAGAACCTGTAAATTCAGCCGAAAAATCGTCGCTAGTCCAGCGACGAGCATCGATCCGCCGCGGCGGCGGCATAGACGCGATCCGAGACTCCGCAAGACGTTTTCCCCGAAACCAGCGAATTCCCTAAACAATCGAGCAGAAAAGCCCGCGGGAAGGGCAAAGGGCTTGGACGCCGAGTCATCGAAACCGCGTCGGTCGGCTCGATTGTTCGTCTCGGAAGGAATCGCCGGCAATTTCGCCCGCAATTTCGCCGGCGAGTGTTTGAATCCGCGACTGTACCCGAGATACACTGACCATGGTTCACGCACATCGGAATACGTTGACTTACCGCGTCGCGGGTACTTCACAACACGCGTTCGCCGCGGGAACGAGCGAGAGAGGCAGAGAATGCGAGAGCGGGAGACGACTTTGCAGAGAGACGGAGAGAAAGGAAGACGGAGGGAGAGAAAGGGAGAGAGAGAGAGAGAGGGAGAGTGAGAGGGAGATTGAGAGAGGGAGATTGAGTGAGAGGAAGCAGGAGTGCAAAGAGCTCGAGTGCGACAGGGAGAGTGAGAGAGAGAGAGAGAGAGGGAGGGAGAGAGAGAGAGAGATTGACAGAGGGAGAGGGAGAGATTGGCAGAGCGGGAGAGAGAGAGAGAGAGAGAGAGAGAGAGAGAGGGAGGGAGTGAGAGATTGGCAGAGGGAGTGCAAGCGAGCGAACGTGAACGGGCGCTCGCAGCTATCCTAGCGGGCGTGTGCGAGCGTGTGCGAGCGTGTGCGAGCGAGTAAGCGAGCGAGCGAGCAGCCGGGCGGGCAGGCAGGCAGGCACGCACACATTAGAGTCACGGGGCCACAAATGCAAACGCGGCCCACGCACACCGATGCGAGGAGATGCAGATACGTCGTCTCTCGGGGTTCTTGACCCGCGCAACACAGATAATACTATACGCATACGTCATACGGTACGCCGAGAAGATGTTCTCGAGAAAATATCGCGGCGTGCTTCTGCGATGCCACAGTCCCCGCGAGCTTCGATACGAGGAAACTAAGTAAATATATCCCCGCGGATCTCCGCTTCGGGGTCCCACTCGCCACGCTAATACCGAACGATTTTTCTACAGTCGTTTCATCGTTTTTTTTTTCTTTCGAAACTCCCCTCCACCTGGTCCCGCTCACCCGACCATTTCTTTTCGACCTCTCCGCCGTGTGTTCTTCTTTACATCGACGAGATTTTGTAGCAACGAGACGGTGATTTTGGACACTGAGACAGATCGGAAGTTGCTATCACGGGCGTTGTTCGGAAATATTTTCGATAGCAACGGGATGTTGGTATTCGAAGAAACGTGTCGCTACGAGCAAGTCCGTCAAGTATTTTTTTTACTGGAGATAGCGTCTCTTTTCATTTTTGATAATCGATAGACTGCGGATTTTCATGCGAATTAAAAACTGTTTCAGTTTATTTTAAGAGACTCGGGTCTGATAACAATATCTGCTCTATTTTAATCATTTTAATAATAAGTTCCACGCGTTAGAAAAATATTCTTCGATTCGTCAATTCTTCTAAAGTCTTACAACTTTCTTCGCGGTTCTGTATTTAGACTAAAATTAATTATCTGTAATAAATAACATATAGTTATTTTAATCAGAAATGCACAAAATCCGCATTCAGACATTCCTGACGGTTCGTAGTCGCTCTACAGTTTTTCCCGTGCTCGACGTAATCAATTTCAATATTAACCCTTTGCACTGCGATTTGTTTCACAGCCACGGCGACTTATAGCACTTTGCTCCATATTGTCTCCAATAAATTCGCACACGATAAAGAAAGAACTTACATATCTATGTCACGTCAACCTGTACTCCGACGATTCAATTTTAATAATAGAAGCACAGAATCGAATTTGGACTTGAAAGACGCGAATAACATCCACCGTTTCGTGAATCATGTTCGAAATCTTCGCGACGAGTCTGACACGATATTGTATAGGGCAAGGGGTTAAGGAAACATCCCGATAGGCACGAAACGTGTCAATAGTTTGCATTGGTTCCGACTTATCTGGAGAGTATTATTAGCAGTTTTTCTCTTCTTCCGTCGTTCGATCGTTTTTTTGTTATCGATCATTCAACGGGCGAGGATTTTCGGGGTGAATTTCGCGGACCGAGCTGTTCCAACAATGATTGAGTCTTGACAGTGCGCTCTCTATTCTTTCGGGAACGACAAGTTTCTGATNGGAGGGAGAGAAAGGGAGAGAGAGAGAGAGAGGGAGAGTGAGAGGGAGATTGAGAGAGGGAGATTGAGTGAGAGGAAGCAGGAGTGCAAAGAGCTCGAGTGCGACAGGGAGAGTGAGAGAGAGAGAGAGAGAGGGAGGGAGAGAGAGAGAGAGATTGACAGAGGGAGAGGGAGAGATTGGCAGAGCGGGAGAGAGAGAGAGAGAGAGAGAGAGAGAGAGAGAGGGAGGGAGTGAGAGATTGGCAGAGGGAGTGCAAGCGAGCGAACGTGAACGGGCGCTCGCAGCTATCCTAGCGGGCGTGTGCGAGCGTGTGCGAGCGTGTGCGAGCGAGTAAGCGAGCGAGCGAGCAGCCGGGCGGGCAGGCAGGCAGGCACGCACACATTAGAGTCACGGGGCCACAAATGCAAACGCGGCCCACGCACACCGATGCGAGGAGATGCAGATACGTCGTCTCTCGGGGTTCTTGACCCGCGCAACACAGATAATACTATACGCATACGTCATACGGTACGCCGAGAAGATGTTCTCGAGAAAATATCGCGGCGTGCTTCTGCGATGCCACAGTCCCCGCGAGCTTCGATACGAGGAAACTAAGTAAATATATCCCCGCGGATCTCCGCTTCGGGGTCCCACTCGCCACGCTAATACCGAACGATTTTTCTACAGTCGTTTCATCGTTTTTTTTTTCTTTCGAAACTCCCCTCCACCTGGTCCCGCTCACCCGACCATTTCTTTTCGACCTCTCCGCCGTGTGTTCTTCTTTACATCGACGAGATTTTGTAGCAACGAGACGGTGATTTTGGACACTGAGACAGATCGGAAGTTGCTATCACGGGCGTTGTTCGGAAATATTTTCGATAGCAACGGGATGTTGGTATTCGAAGAAACGTGTCGCTACGAGCAAGTCCGTCAAGTATTTTTTTTACTGGAGATAGCGTCTCTTTTCATTTTTGATAATCGATAGACTGCGGATTTTCATGCGAATTAAAAACTGTTTCAGTTTATTTTAAGAGACTCGGGTCTGATAACAATATCTGCTCTATTTTAATCATTTTAATAATAAGTTCCACGCGTTAGAAAAATATTCTTCGATTCGTCAATTCTTCTAAAGTCTTACAACTTTCTTCGCGGTTCTGTATTTAGACTAAAATTAATTATCTGTAATAAATAACATATAGTTATTTTAATCAGAAATGCACAAAATCCGCATTCAGACATTCCTGACGGTTCGTAGTCGCTCTACAGTTTTTCCCGTGCTCGACGTAATCAATTTCAATATTAACCCTTTGCACTGCGATTTGTTTCACAGCCACGGCGACTTATAGCACTTTGCTCCATATTGTCTCCAATAAATTCGCACACGATAAAGAAAGAACTTACATATCTATGTCACGTCAACCTGTACTCCGACGATTCAATTTTAATAATAGAAGCACAGAATCGAATTTGGACTTGAAAGACGCGAATAACATCCACCGTTTCGTGAATCATGTTCGAAATCTTCGCGACGAGTCTGACACGATATTGTATAGGGCAAGGGGTTAAGGAAACATCCCGATAGGCACGAAACGTGTCAATAGTTTGCATTGGTTCCGACTTATCTGGAGAGTATTATTAGCAGTTTTTCTCTTCTTCCGTCGTTCGATCGTTTTTTTGTTATCGATCATTCAACGGGCGAGGATTTTCGGGGTGAATTTCGCGGACCGAGCTGTTCCAACAATGATTGAGTCTTGACAGTGCGCTCTCTATTCTTTCGGGAACGACAAGTTTCTGATTGGAAAGATTGACGGTACCTTCTTGCAAGTTAATGGACTTCACCTTTCCCGGTTACATAATGTAAAGCTTGTATAATATTTAAGTAACCTATAAATTCTGTAAGAGGCCCGCGATGTGTTAAATGACGCTTGAACTCTTCGAAATACTTTAACGATACGTGTCCGCCGCGTTAATTATCGAAGAATAGCTTCGGATCGATGCGAAATTATTCGCACGTTGATCCGAGCCGATCAATTTACCCGCTGGCTAATTTCAGTGTCCCGAATCACCGGATCACGGAGCGTGTCGATCTATCTTCTAAACGCGTTCCCGCGGTCACGTGTCTTCCTGTTGTTTATGTAAAAGTGCGCGCGGAAGTTATATCGTCCCGGCGAAATTCTGTCGGAGGTCTTGAATTTTTCATCATATTATTAAGAAATTGGAGGAGCTCGTTAATTAACGCTTCTGAGTGACATATAATATATTTATCTAAATTTAGCAGCGGCAGAATTTAGCATCGGTCGCGCGCGCGCGCGCGCGAGATGATCCTTCGTTTGCGCGATACGTATAATACTTTCTTTTGTCGAGCTTTCGTTCGTATATCCGCGTTTTAAACGGCGACTAGACCGGTCCATTAAAATTCCAACGAAAGTAACATCGATTCGCGAAGCTTCCGATCCGTCGAAATCTCGTCGGAAAGTTCAAGCACCTAGCCGGACATTGTTCCGCGAGAATGATTTCCGCGTACACAAACAACTTGAACGACTACACACGTACACGATTCGGTGGAAAACGTCGGTTCAACCCTTGTGTGACCAACCAAGCACGAATTACTTCTCTCCTGCACGTTTCGGAAAATATCGGGAACTCCGAAACCTCATATCTCGTGCAGCAAATCAATTAACAGTCGATATATCGTTAACAACATTATCAAGTTTCACTCGAAAGCAACGCTTCCAGTCTTCGGCGACTGTTCAAGAACGATCCCTAGCCACTTTCGACAAAGTTTCTGCAGCGCCAAAGATCAAATATCGCGGCTCCAATACCGAAACTGCCTCGGCATCAACCAACGTTGCTTCGTAAAGCACGTTTTCCCCATTTTCAGACAACTAAAAATGCACCGTTTACGCGTCGATGTATAGAATAAAAGTTTCGGCGGATTCGTAACCGTTTCTTTTTTTCTTTTCTTTTAGAACAGAAGAGTTGAATGCTAAAAAATGACGTTAACCCCTTGCTCGGAAAATTCGATTCTTTTATTGTCCAGGTCTAGGAACGAGAATAAATGAGCACACGGATGAAACGAAAATGATCTCGTTCTATGAGATAAATTGTTAAGAACGAGGAGAGATGCTGATCGAGATAGCTGCGAAAGAAATCCTGGTGCAAGGTTATTTAATAACTAAGGGTTATTATTAATGATATTAATAACAAGGGTTATTAATAATTTATATAATAGTAAGCCTTATTAATAATAAGGGTTGTTCGATAACCCTTTATAAATAATCTCCCGAAACTATAGTGTCTCCATTTTTCTGTTAATTTATAATCGGTGCATTTTATATCAGATCGAGTCTTGCGACACGTGCTAAGCTTTCAACAGCTTTTCGAGTATAAACGATTATGGTGATTCCGAAAATAATTTTGGAACGCGACGAAAGAATTTTTGGCGGCGCCGTAGAGTCACCCTCTCGAGCCGTCGAATCGTGGAAATAACAGAAAAAATCACCGAATCTGTTGTACAGCGATTCTCGCGGTAACCTTTGTCTTTCCACCTCGGTTGGCCACGCAAGGTCGACGAGAACGATAGTCGACTGATTTGTAGGTGTAACGCAGGTATTTTGGAAGAAGAACGCACGCCGATTAGCCGCGAGCGCGCGCGCGCGCGCCATCCAGGGCGAAGCATGAGTCCGAGTATCGAGGGCGATTGTTGTAATAGTGGTTTAACGAAAAGGGCCAGCAGGAAAGTAAACTAACGCTTTGCCTCCTGTCTTGCCCGATAGTCTCGTGCCTCTGCGGCGGGACTTGGAGGTGCGGGAGGCGCCGGCGGAGGCGGAGGAATGGGCAACATCAGCGAGCGCACCCTCGAGGAATGCTGGTCCACCCTGCAACGAGTGAGTTGAACACTCAGCCCGTTCACAGAAACCCCTTTTATAATATTTCTATCTCCCGGTCACAGCACAGCTTCCTCTAACCTGTCACACGCTGTATCTTTCCGTCGTTTAGTAGACGCTCGTATATACATATGCACATGTGTATATATATAGATATTATAATTTTGCCATTGTTAGTATCAGTATTACTATTATTATTATTATTATTATTATTATTATTGTCATTATTAGCATTATTATTTCCTGCGTAGCAAGCGGGGTGGTGAAAAATCGTTCTTTGAAATAGCAAGTAGATACTATAAATATTTGTATCATCTCGTCGAGATTCTGAAATTCTGGTTACAATATGGAAACAGTATTTCGAATATATTTAACAAACCGTGATGTCCATATGTAACTACAGTGGCCCACAAAAGTGTTCGTACACCGCTTAAAATGCAATAATTTTTTTAAAACTGGACTAAGTGACTTGAATATTTTTTAGATGACACCAAAATGTCCTTTTTAAATTTTGCTCCTATAAAAGAATTGACAAACGAGAGTCTCTTATTTTTTCTTGTCATTCCAAGTAATAACAAAATTTAAGAAAGACATTACGGTCATCGTCTAGTATACTAGTCCTTCTGTCATCAAAAAAAGAAAGAAATCCAAGCGACTTAATCCAGTTTTAAAAAAGTCATCGCGTTTTAAAAGGTGCACGAACACTTTCGCGTGGACGGCTGTATACTATTTCTTAAAAAGTGAACACGCCGAATTCTGTATCGCGCGAGAAGATGCAAATATTTGCAGTCCGTTTGCTATCGCAATCATCTTTTTCTCCCCGGTCCCGCTCACCACACGCACACACAATTCCCGCACGTCCGAACAAAGCCGTTTGACGTTTCTTCGCGTACCATCTATCAAACATTACACGATTTTGCTCGCTCTCAGTAGTAGTTGATCGACTTCTAGACGGTCGAGCCTCGTTTCGATGTTGTCTTTTTTTTATTTCGCACACACGTTAAACGAACACCATAGCTGTTCCTTTCTTTTAATTTTTTTTCTTAATTGTTGTTGTTGTTGTTGTTGTTTCTGTACTATCTTTTTCGTTCAGTTTCCGGTAGTGACGACACACGATTTGAATTTTTGTTTGATCGCGCACACACACACCGCTGCTCTGGCATGCTGCTCTCTACGTGCGTGTATGTGCTTCCGTATGGTTTATGTTTCTCTGTGTTAAGCGTAAGAGACTGCCTGTCGTTTACACGCGTCGACGGCCACCGTACGTTGCCGTGTTCCTCGTCCGTGGATCGTCGACGGGCACGAGCGTGCCAGGACGTTCGTAGATCGACCGCAGTGGCGGTTCGAGATCGATCCTCTCTATTCGGTTTCATTATTAGTTTTTTTTTGTTCTTTATTAGAACAGCGAAAACGCTGCTCGTTCTCCTCGCTCGACGGCGAACAAGAGCGCGGTGTATCGTGGCCGCAGCGAGGAGAAAAGACGGGGAACGGTAACCCGGGCGAGAGACAATAACGCGCGTTTAATTGTTCCGCGGCTTGTATTCCACGCACGACGCGGCCGATTTAATGGGACAGTCCGTCAGGATCGATAGCGCGCGAGTCGCCCGCGTATATGGCCGTTGTCCTTTTACGAGCCCAGCAGGCACCGAAATGAAGGGAAAGGAAGCGCCGCTAACGAGCCGTGAATCGAGTTGGACTAACCGTTCGACAAGGAACGGGAACGTCCGCGAACGGAGACGCCGACCGGGAACACCGATGTTTTACGCGGACAGACCGGGGGGGACAGGGGCGTACGAAGAAAGGACGGAGGGTCCGCGGAACGGGGGGAGGTAAAAAGAGAGAACTCTCTCGCGGAAAACTTTTAAATTCTCGTCCCGAGTACGAAAGCAACAATTTGTTTCGCTAAGTAGCCGCGCACCGTTCTTTTGTTTTTCCCGGCTCTTCTTTTATTCCCACGGCGGGCCGCCGGGTGGTGCGACGGGGGTGGAACGGCCGGGCAGGGGGGGATGAATGGAGGAGGCCCGGTGGGCGAGAAGGTGGTTAAAGGAAACCGCCGCTGCCCGTCCATCGCCACCTTGAAAGCGGAGTCGCGCCGCACCGCGCCGCGCCGCGCCGAAACTTTCGGAAAATCGCAAAAACGCGGCGCGCGATGGCGAAGTTTTCGCGTTTTCCCCCGGATTTAATTAAAACATTCGCCTCCTTTGTGGCGTTCCGTGGATACCCGTCTCGCTGGGGGGACAAAGTGTTATGAGTGCTACCCCGGCAAAGTGTCCGCGGAACACTTGCAACCCTTTCGCAACACCGGGACGCGATTATTGGGACATCGTCGAGAGGATTCTTCTTTTTTCAGGAGCTCGCGAGACGGATAACCGTTTATTCTTCAATTTTCGAACGATTTCTGGACGATGATCGTTCCAACGGGAAATTGTTTGCCATTTTTTCAGTTTGGGTCACTCTTGACGAATCACCGAGAACTAATTACTAAATTAGTTAGTCAAATTAACTTCGTTACCCCGAGGTAGATGTCTCTGGACGTTTGCGATCGATCGGAATGATTTTTCATTGTGTTCGTAAGACAACTTAGGGAATGGATAGTGAGACTTGCCTTGTAGACTCTCACGGACGGATATTTATCTGGAACGGATAACTGTGTCGAATAATTTTCTGATGCTCGCGCGTCTTCTGGATGCAATTTTTTGAAGCAGGAAATTATCTAGGAATTTTTTACCGGGTCTCGTTTGACGAATCGATGGAAACGAACGTCCATTACCGATTTAATCGTCTTTGGACATTTGTGGTCGATTAGAACGATTTTTCATTGTGTTCATGAAACACTTTGAACCACTTAGAGACTGGATATCGGTACAGTATTCCGTGTCCCGTTGTGTTCTCATGTTTTTCAGCGATGGCTAAAGTATCTTGCTCTTGGAAGATCTTTCAAAATTCGCTACTGGCCGCAGCGAGGAAACGTTTGATGAAGAACAATGTCGTTGGGAAACGTTTCTGGATTAAATTGGACCGTTTTTCGAGCAAATCGGAGACCGTGCAGTACGCGATTACTTCAGATTAAAAGTTCTCATGGTTAATTGAAAGGTTCAAGGATTGTATGCTTGAAGCAAAGCAGTATCTAATTTCATGCACAAACGGCTGTGCATTCCTGTTGCATTGTGCGTCAAACGCTGCACGGTCGAGCACAGGAAAATAACGCATCGGCTGCGCTCGATAGAAGCGCAACCAACGATAATGGAAGACGAACTTTTCACGTTCGTCGAAAATCGTCGAAATGACGAAATGCATTCGCAGTCAATTACGACGAATCGCTATAAATTAGAAATCGCGATCGCGTCGCCGCAAAAATAATTGTTAAGAGCGACGACGAATTGCGAAGTATCGCGTCGGTTGCAAAGTATCGCTCACGAATAACAATTTCGAGGACTGAGACCAGGGGGCTCGGTGTTTAATCCTCGGTTTCCCAAAAAGGATATTCGAACGCATCGGTTCGAAAGCGACAATGAAAATACCGCGTGCATAGCAGTGCGAATCGTGGGAAAACAAAGGGCGCGAAGGAAGATAGAAAGTCGAAAACATTAATGCGGCGCAACGTTGTATAAACACTCGACGGTGAGCGGTTCTCATGGCTCTCCGATCGGGGAGGAGAATGTACATACGAGAGTAGGAGAGACAGAGAGAGCGAGAGAGAGAGAGAGAGGGATTGGGAGAACACGGTTTTTGTTCTTTCGCCGGCACGAAAATTAAAATCCAATTATTTCGACACCTCTGCCCGACCCTCCGGCGATTCAAATGAATTTTTTGCGACCGACACTTTTTCCCTCCGAATCTCTCTTTCACCCCGCTCTTTAAACCGGTTCCGCGGCGAACCGGAGCTAACGTTACACACGTTACCACCCTTGACCGATCCACAATCCCAATCTTGAACGACAGCTGCCAGAACCGGAACTATCATGCGCCAGGGAAAAAAACGAAGACGATGATCAAAGGGGCACGACGAAGAAGACGCACGAACGATCGATGGAACAGAACGGCCCGAAACAACGTCCTTAATAGTAAAATTCGTAGCCACCGTGTTACCGTTGTTGAAATCATCCGCTGCCATTGTACAACTGAAAATAATTACGCGGCGCGCGCGTGTGCTTCGTGGCTGCTGACAAACTTTCTGGTTAAATGTTAATAACGAGAGACGGTTATAGGGTCCAGATGAATATGAAACCACCGCCGCGATTCATCCTCTTTTAAAGCTAATTCAATTGTTTCGCCAGTGCCGGCCGGAAGCTACTTTCCCGCTTTCGTTCCGAGCGAAAAGAAGCGTGAGAGTCACGTTAAATAATAGTAATTACGCAATGATGAGCACTAAATACTACTAATTCAGCGCATTCGAATGAAATTCGCCTGAAACGGACGTTAAACTCGCGAGCCGTTTTCTATTAGTTCGTAAAAGTAAGGATAAGACGTTTGTTGCGATTTTCGACGAGGGTTGTTGCAATATTTGCCGCGAGTAAATATATCGCATAAATAACGGCTTTGCGTTTATGTTCATTTGTTTCACGGCTTATAGATCAGAGAAGATCTATATATTTCTATAATAAATGTATCTTTACGGTCCGAATAATCGCAAATTAACGAACAAACCCGTCGTTTCGACAGATTCCGTAAATCTAGTATTAAAAAATTCAATTTCATTTAATTTCTTTATATATTTCTATATATATTTTCAAGGATCTCTCTGCGAAATCCTAAAAAATCCTCGTTACACAATTAATGTTATCTCGTTGCCGGTTTTGCAAATATTGCATGTTTTCTCGATTAAAACAAAACAAAAATTGAATTCCTTTGAAAGAAGAGATTCGGGGAAACGTGGACGATCCAACGCGGAAACTATCACGCAAGGACAGGCAGATGATCGGGCAACAAAAGGCGCGCAGATTCCTCGCGTCTTTCTCACGTTCGCATCCCCTTGGACGGTTTTTTTCTCGCCGTTTCGG